CTTTGCTACGGTAATGGCGTAGCAAATACTTATTGATACGGTAAATCCTAGCATTACTACGGCTCCAAAATTATCCCTTAATAAAAAGTACTTTTTGTTACGGCTTTTTACCGTAGCAAAAAAAATCGTAATAAAAAAGCCATTTTTTTACTAGTGCAAATCTAATATCAGAGAGTTCACACACGTCTAAAGTGGCCCTAAAATCTTTAATAAGATGTGGCAGTTTTGCAACCCTACCTTCTTTCTCGGAATTGCATAGAATCTCGTTAATGTTGCCTCCGATAATCCCCGGCATGTCTCTTTGAGTATTGAGTTGACGGATTAAATTCCATGAGATTTGTCAACGACTTTTTTCGGGGCAACCATAGAATCCGGTACATCGCCATTTCCGATCTATCTACGTCCAGAAGACTTCGACATCAATATGGTTTCGTGACAGACTAATGAGATCGACAGTTATGTCCTTTCTCCACAGCGTAGCCAAACACCAGCAAGTCCCACTCTATCCACTGCAATGCCATGTAAATTTCATTGCCCTCTGAGTGTCTCGATCACGTGTGATGTGGCTTTCGTTTCCGAAAGAAACACCAACATGGGGTTGTACCGTCGGAGCATATCTCCGATTGCATGAATTGTAAAGGGACCCCTAACCATTGACAATTCCAAAATAGACAACTCATCGCTCTCAGCAGAGCTGGATAGATAGCAGCTTCCACCGTTGAAAAAGACTCGTCATCTCGTAGGAGCAATTAGGGTTTTCTGGTCACCCTGTTGCTGTCCACATCAGCATTCTCATCATTCTTCTTTTTGCGCTTTGAGTTCGGGACCTTGAACACATGGCTTGACGATAAATTGCTCTACTGTCTGTATGAGCCGATACCGTATTGTTGACCAAGTGTGAGTCGTCCATGTCCAAGCCTTGCTGATTTTCCTTTCACTCCCTGGGGTTTTCCTTGTAGCCAACTTGATTAATCGGTAGAGAGTAGTCGAAACTACTAGACCCACGGGGAGATTCGAGCGTATGGAGGTCTGATAGCTTGCAAGGGAAGTCCGGCAAGATTTCCATCGTTGATGGCACTCGCTCGGAGCCAACTGTCGTACAGTAATTGATCGTCTACATTCTAACTTTTAATTGATTGCTATATTTTTTCAACTTTGGACTTCGTTTTAAATACATGGATTCCTAAATAAATAGCAATTTTTTTTTCTTCATTTTTTGTTCGCATGGGTCATGTTACTAGTTATTAATAAAAGTAAGGTTGCTCCTGCTAAACTCTAGGTATATTTTCCGCTATTTGATGGTTATAATTTGTTAGAGTAGGTGACCAACAAGCCAACTTATGGCTGTGGTCTTTCCATTTATTCTTGTAATAAATAATCATTTTTCGTATTAATGATAGAACACCTTGGCATTCTATATCTTTGTCCCTTTTTCAAACATAGATATAATCCTACAAGTACTATTACGAGCCACGACTTGCGCTAATATGAACCACGCCTTGCGCTAATTTGATGTATGAGGCAACCTAGAAAGATGAAACGAAAGCGCAAATATTGCGAATAAACCTAATATAAATCAAAATAATATATATTAATCAGTTACGAGGTTTTTCGAATTAAAGTTGCAATGTTGCTGCTCAAATAAAATTAATGGTGGCACAAATAGTTGCTGGCTGAGAAGCAACATGAATCCTAACTGCAAGTTATTATCCCTGTAAAACAACAGAAATGTTCATTAAATGAAACGACTCCGAATAAACAAACCGTGGAAATATATATACATAAAAAGGAAGAAAAAGATTCACCCATTAAGTTTGTTAGATGGTGAAACTTACCTAATCACTCAATTATACGATGAAGGAAAGTCGTCTTCCAGTACGAGTCAGCATTACTGTGCAGAGCCATCAACAGCCAAAGACATAATCAGAACTAGTTTTCTTTTTAAATATATATATATATATATATATATATATATATATATATATATATATATATATATATATATATATATACACGTGTGTGTATAGATACAAGAAGTGCAGAGTGAGGATTCATACATCTCATCATTAATAATCTGCACTGCAGGAACACCAAACATGGAACCCAAATGGTTTAAATCGCTTCTCAACGGTCGCTCCAAATTCACTGCAGATAACAGCATCAATGGCACTAGAGGAGACTCTAACCTTTGATCAGTAATTGTTATATACGATAGCATTGAGGTTAGTTCTTCCTCAATCTCCGAGGAACTGGCTTCTTTGTCAATGTTTATTTTGTTTCCATCATCATTGCTTTCCACTGCAGCACCACCGATGTCTACGTGAATGTTGTTTCTTTCGACATTACTTTCGAGGAAAGCGGGGCCCGGGCGAACATTTTGAGGTCTTCTGGGAAAGGGTAAGGTATAGTTAAGGAAATATTGCCCGTATATCATACCCTCAAAGCTACTCATGCAGTTCCCATGCAGATTAGCGACTTTATAATATCTTCCTTTGACACATGCCGCCACGCGGTTTTCCATCTCTAGCGCATGTCTCCGATTAATTGTGTTGACGAAGAACTTCTTTATGCCGTCGCTTATGCAGTTTTCTTGCAACATGAGAACCTCTGTAAGTTTTTCATACCCGTAGGACAGTGCAGATTTTATTCGGTAAAAATTACCTGCTTCAGTAAAGTTTATGATACCATCATCAGTTAATCAATTCGAGAAATTAAGTTACTAAATAGTATATTTTTTTTTTATTAACTGAATAATTTAAAATTTTATCATGTTGGAAACATATTAAACTCAAAATGATTGCGATCTTCTGGTAAATTGGAAAAACCAAAGTTTTATCGTTAATTATGACTTCACATTTCACTATACCACATGAATCGAATCTCTGTTCCAAACAAGTGCAATCAATTTCTCATTAGAACAACAACAAAGAGCAGGCAGAGTGCAATCTATTCTCTGATTATAAAGCAATCTTGAGTATCTTAATAGCGCATCGATACTTTAATAACAATAACAAGTTACCTTCATTAACTTTAAAAATTCATTTGGGGTGCATTATTCATGATTTATTGTGTTTTAGGGGTGCAAAGTGGTATAAATTTTTTTCGAGGGTGCAAAGTGCAAAAATGCCATATTTCAAGGGTGCAGAATGAGATTAATGAAAAGTTATGTTTAACTTGAATAACAATAACAAGCTCAAAAATTATTAGGTAACTGGATAATTATTAGGTAACTGGATCGAGCTCAAACCTGAGATCAACTTCAAATATTACCACCGAGTCAGGTTAAATTTGTTGGATTACGCCCCACCCCCCATGCCATTTGAGGATAATCTGATATCAAATTTCTTCAAAAATTTGCTTCATTTTTCGACCATATAGGAAAATGCAACATTGCAGAAAAAAAAAAAAGAGGAAATATAAGAAATGAAGTGAACCATCAGTTTTCATTAGCTACACAAGATCGACCAATGTCGGAGTCATAAGTTTTAGTAGTAGATCAATTCCCATACCCTAAGGATACATAAACATAGTTCGATTTATTTTTCTTGAAACATGAAATGGAAAGGCTAGAAATTCCAAAAAGGAGTGGGCGTTGAGCGCAGTTCGACAGAGTCGGTCAATCCATTCCCTTCTTTCGCTTGAAGAATTTCCACTGCTTCAGTAGAACAGCAACTCCTTCCTTTAGGTAAGCTCTCCTACCTTCTTTGTAGTTCCACAATTCCGAAATAACGTACCTTCCACTCGGGTTATATTCGTTTATCTCAAACAAAGTTGCTTTCACAGCATTGTAAACTTCTTCACCGTAGTTTTCCCTCAGGTCTATCAGTTTTTCGTCATCTTCATTTATCACATTCTGAAACAAGAAGCCTAATTAGGTATATGATTGATGACTTCATACTATATAAACATGGATAAAATCTGTGTCCAGACCATTAAAACATTCAAAATAGATGATTTATTTTATTTTTTTGAGAAAAAAAAAATATGATATTAAGACAACATAAAGATCATGAGAGATATGTATATATCGAACTCCCGTAAACTAAAGAGTTTCATTGTTGAAGTGAGCAATAAAAAGATAACTGCATACCTTAGGTGTACCATCAATCGTAACGACCTTAATGGGATCCCATTCAGGATCTTTAAGATACTCCTCCCACAGGGAGCACAATTCTGTGGCCCTCTCATCTGCTTCAGCCTCGTTGTATTTCCTCTTCATTGCATCATGAAATGGCTTGCTATCGAGCTCCCCCATTCTCTTTACACCAATATGAGAATTCAATGACATGTCTTTCAATCCCTACAAATTAATTATTATTTTCAGCATACAGCAACTCATCATTAACCAATTGAAAGGAATTGAAGAACTTACATTTACTAATTCTTTCCGAGCATCCTGCAACTCGTCGTTGCTCTTGCGCTCCTGCACAACTAAAGTTTGGTTCAAAGCTTCCAAATCGTCAAGCTCTCCTTCCTTCTCCCTCAATGCCTTGAGCACCAAATCAACTTTATTTAACACTTCTAAATCGCCTTCGTCTCCCATGTGCTTCACGACATTTAGTTTACCCCTCAATTGTTCAATTTCGAGCTGCACAGCTTGTTTAGCATCCAGTTGTTTCTCCAGTTGAATGATTCTCTTATGGAGTTTCTCCTTTTCGTTCTGAAATCACGAATCCCAGCAGCATATCAGTTCTAAAACAAGTTCAGTTGCTATTCTAAGTGTGAACTGGGAAAAAACATACCTTGTGTTCTTCAGCCAGCTTCATAACTTTTTCATCAGCCTTCCGTTGTTCTTCGGCAGCAGCTTGAAGGGAGCAATTTTTCACCGCATTCTGGAAGAATAATTCTCCATTAAATATTATGAGGGAAAAGCAGAAGATTAAAAGAAAATTACAATATCTAAAAGAAAGATATGCGAAACCTGTTCAAGGTCTTCGGCGAGCTTTTTTTTCTCAATTTCATTGTGGGTCTCGCGTTTCATCAGCTCCTGACCCCGGAGCTCAAGATCTCTTTTTTGAGTTTCGAGTTGAAATTTCAGCTTCTCGTGGTCATTGAATATCTTCTTGAAATGATCTCGGGCACTCGACTCTATCTTTTTAATCTCTGATCAGCACAAAAGAGTACATCATGTTTAAAACTACATTCAATTAAAAAAATTATATTCGGAAAAAAGATTCGAACTTTACACGTGAACAAACCTTCATTGTAAGCTTGATGAAGATTATCTTTTTCCATGATCATCTGGCGAAGAGAGCTGTCAGTCTCCTTGAATTTGCTCTCCATCTCAATCAAGTGCATCTTCTTTGCCTCAATAACATTCGTCAAATTCCCCACAAGTTTGTTCGTCTTTCGAGCCTCCTCTTCCATTATATCGGATATGGTTCTAAGATCACCAATCTTGCGAAGATTTTCTCCAACAATGTTATTCAAATTATAATCATCTGTTCGAGCAACCCATGCATAAAGATCCGACTTCTTCTCGTTCTTTGCTAGCCAATTCTTCCTTCCATGATGATTAGCCTCGTAATCTTTCTCAAAAGACATGGCATTCGTAAACCCAGACCAATTCTTATGAAATTCGACAATAGCAGTTCCCGAATGGCCTTGGTAATTCCATAAAGGCCGCACTCTAGTCGGATTAAACCCTCTCCTCGCCAATTGATCCCTCAGTTTACTACCACTCTCCCCGACATAGCGACCGTCTTTCAAGTCGGTAGGAATATTTACAACAATGCCAATCCACGGCCAGACGAACATCTCGTCGCCATCATGGTCCGCCAGAGTATCCAATTTCCCAGCAGGCTTCGAAGGGCCGCCGGAATCAACAGACGAATCAGTTTCCAAGTACTTTGTTAGAGCGAGGTGATTTGCCCTCTCTCGTGCGTTTCTTTTCGGCGAAGTGGCGATTGCATTTGCATGCTGGAAGAGATCCTTGTACTGGAAGGCTTTCTTTTTAGTAGGGCAGTAGGGACAAGTGTAAGCTTGATCGGATAATTTAACCTGGTGCTTACCTTTCTTCAGTTCTTCATACGATTTTTCGGTATACTCTTCAGTCTCGGAATCACTGATGTCAGTGTCTTCTCCAGAACTGTGTTCCCCTGAACTTCCCATCACTCTCAACTCTCAAATCTCACTGAAAATTGAACACCCAAATATTATTCCAGAACAACCAATTAACAAAATAATTAAACAAAAAAGAAAAAAGTTGAACCTAAACCTAAAATTAAAAAAATTTACAACACCGACGACTCACATGATCACATTGTATAAAAGGGAGAAGAATAAAATCGCCCAATTCAAGACAATGAAAATCAACATTGCATGTAAACAGATCTGACCTTTTCACTGTAAGATACATTTAAACTTACAAGGACGAGTCCATGGTTCACCGGACCGCCGTTATAGCGGCCGGAGCGGGGTTAGTGGAACCGGAAAGGGGGCCACCGCGACAGAGTTCCGGCATATAGCGGCTGGCGTGTTCTAAAATCTAAAAGGCAGCGATTTATCAGCCGGAACGGCAAATTATGCGGCTCACGCGCACCGCGGCGGCGATTTATCGGACTAGAATGGGGTCGAACGGCTTCTGGCGGTGTTCTTCGGGGCGGCGGAAATGGAATTTAGGGCTGGTGACGCCAACAAGTCTATATTAGTTCTGATGCCACTTAAGTTTTCAAATGTTTCAACTTACTCCCTGAATTTTATGATTTCTATTAAAAATACCGAAAAATTGCCGAAAATTTACCGAAAGAATGGTTATCATTGTTTACGGTACGGTACGAGTACCGTACCCTTACAATATGGTACGGTAGTGCTATTGTATTTCTAATATACGGTAATACCGTACCGTACCGCAATTTATATTTTATAATTCGACTAAGATATTTACTTATTATTTTTGGTAATTATATTTTTTACTTGAAAGCTTATGAATTGCAACAATTATTTTTACCTTAAGTTAGTGGTAGTGTATTTGTTTTTCTCCGACCAAGTTGAATTTTATAATTGGACATATATACTATGTTAAATTGTCTTTTATGTACCTTATATTGCCAACTGATTTTATTATATTTGATGTATGAATATCTTTTTTTTTTTTTTTACATACATATACATATATGTATAGTATTTAGTAAAGTTTTTAGTAAAGTATTTAGTAATGTATTTATTGTATGTACTAATTATTAGGTACAATCAAGCACTAAGATATACTCAATTGTTCCATTAAACCACATTTATTTTGGTTTATATTCTTGATTCATTGAAGCAAGTTATGTTAATTATTCATGATTATACCCTCGGGCCTTCTTAGAAAATTAAATACAAGAGTAACTAGAACTATTTTCAATTGAGATTTACATACTTGTTACAAATCCTTTTTCCCCAATTCAAATCCGGGTGTCGTCTGATCAACAAAAAAAACACGAAATATCTCCTTCTCCTCTGCTATAAAACTTGCAGAATGCTTTCCCGGTAGAAGCATAGGAAACAGGCGATACTTTGTTTGATTCTAAGCATGTGGTCTGAAGGTTTTCTAGAATCAAAAATTCTGAATCCTCATTCGCATCTAGGATTTGTTCTTTAACCTTTGACACATCACCAAGTACGGTAGAGTACCAGATACCGATTGTATCGTACCGAAAATAATGGTATACCGAACTTTTTGGTACGATAACGGTATGAAATTTTTCAATACCATAATATACGGTAAGTACATAGTATTGAGCCAAATGTTTGGCAACCATACCGAACCGAATCCACCCCTATTTAGAACTTACACTTTAAATTGAATTTTTTCTGCATTTTTTTTCACCCTTTTGCAAATTTAAAGGTTTTTAAGGGAATTGTCGTACGCTGTCATTCATATAACATTATGTTTTTATTGTAATATTAATTTATAAATTATATTACAATTTAAATATTAGTAACTCTAGGATTGGGCATGAGTCAGTTTTATTGATCCACTTTTTTTGGCCGACAACTTTTATTTTTCGACTGGTAATTTTGACCGACTCGTATATAAATTGATCGGTCGGTAATTTTTAGTTTACTCAAAAATTTCGTTCGCGTAATGTCGGTCGACCAACTTTTTTGATAATAAAGATTTATTATAAAAATTTAATTATTTTCTTAAAGTTTAAAAAATATATAAAAGACTTTGTCACATGCCACATGATTCTCAGTGACAATTACCCCGATTGAAGAAGAAGAGAAGCATTAGAGTTCGGGCATGGTTAGATTTGTGAATTGGGAAAAGAAGAAGAAAAGTGTTGGAAGAAAGGGTAATGATTGAATCTTGAAGAAACCAATTTATGTGGCATCAATTGAGGATGAGACGAGCGACGGCGTTTTGAAGAAGGGAGCACGTGATTCCTCTACACCTGATTAAATGGAACACGTGTTCAACATCAGGAGGACAATTCCCTACGCGCATTTTAGGCGATTATTAACGTCTAACTTAACAACACTTAACAGTTTCTTAGTTGTATCCGTTTAAAGAATATTCTTCAGACTTGGGCCTGAGGGTTTCTATTTGTACCTGCACTTTTCGCAGTGCTTTTTATCCAAAAAAGTTTGAGCATCTTCTCTACTTTTCGTTCGATGTAGTCTATCTTTCTTCTTCTAATTTCTTATCAATTCGTACAAATTATATAATATTATATAGGGTAAATTACAAACACCCCCTGAGGTATGGTCAAATTACAAAAACACCCCTCTTGTTTGGATAATTACAACCACCCCCTCAACTCATCAAATTTAGTGGAATCTTCGAGATTATATGGAATATTATCACTTTTGTACCCGTTTTATCCCATTCAAACTCTACATTATGAAGCAAGATGATCATAATATGTGATTTTTAGCTTGTATATATCAGTTTGTGGTGCATCGGAAACTGTATTTTTTACACAAAAAGAGTACAAACTAGAGCACATTTCACGGAATCTAGATGACTATGTTGAATTTGGCACCATAAAGGTGGAGGTCTAAGAAAAAATCATAGTTGAGGGGGGTAGATGTAATTATCCAAACAAAAGGGGGGTTTTTGTAATTTGACCATACCTCAGGGGTGTTTGTAATTTACCCTAATTATATATATACAGATATAATTAACCAAAGAGGAGGTTGAGTGAGCTGGAGATCCAGGAAGCGCTGGACAAAAGAGAGGCGGTGGAGATAATCCTGCAAGATCAATTTGACAACAGGTCAAGAAACATGCATGGGAGAAAATAACATACCGGTTAACAAAACCGTAGAAATATTACAAATTCAAATAACCAAAATTGATGAAAGAATGAAACACTACCATAAAAACAAATCCATTATGTTAATTAGAATTTATCATAGAATTTAATCCAATTAGTTAACTAATATGTGTTCATAGTTTAATTAATTCAATCTATGATTAGTAATTAGTTAATTTCATATATCATAAGTGTTTATGTCAATTATAATGTTTATAATAATTTAGTGCTTAGGTTTATTAGATTTTATATTATGTTCATTTCTAATTAAATGATCATGTGATTCTAGAGAATTGATATATATGATTTAATGAGATTATTAATCTATGTCAATTGTAATATTAAATGAATATTGTAGGTAATATCCATAATCTGTTTGAGAATTTTGATACGATGATGATTAAATTATGGGGTCTTAGGATATAGGTTCCTGGTGACAAAATTAATTTGAACTAAATGACAAGTTCAACTAAATATTTTGCTTCATATACTTTATTAAATCCATTCCAAAAATGCCCTTTCATTCATCTTTCTTTTTACAATTTTCCCTCTAGTACTTTTTACATTATTATAAACAACTTTTTTTCCTTCTCGGATTTAGGGTTTGGTTAAATAATTTAGCAGATTTTTAAAATACTATTTTGTACTATGGTTTACACAACTATTAAAAAAATCTTTTTTACTACATACTATTTTTTGTTTTTTTAATTCAATCTACATATATTTTAATTTTAATTTTATTTTATTTGTTGTCAATACTGTAGTAGACTATGGTATACTACAGTGTACTATGATATATTACGGTGTACTATGGTATACTACGATGTACGACCAAACCTTATTATCCAACAACACTCAATCCTTGCCAACCCTAGCAGTCAACGCATCAGCCGTCAAACCCTAGCAGCCAACATCTGCAGCCGTCGCAACCGTAGTCACCTACCAACTTTGGGAAAACCTAGATCTACCACTTTAAACCCAAATCAAGCACAATCTCTTGAAGATCAAGAAAATCAGATTCAAATGGTAAAAAATAATATGCTTTCCATCAAATCTCCGCCATAACCACATCCCCGCCGCTGCCTCGACCACCACATCCCCGCCACCGCCTCGACCACCACATCAGCACAACCCCCCGCCGCCTTGACCACCATAGCAGCACAGCTTGCCGTCGCCGCCTCGATAATCACAACCCCTCACCCCCGTCTCGACAACCACAACCCCTGCCGCCGCCTCAACCACCACAGCCCCCCGCCGTTGCCTTGTCTACTACTGTCCTTTCCTTGTTCTACTAGTGAAAAAAGCAAGAGAGATATAAAGATAGACAGATGAGAGAGAGAGAGAGAGAGAGAGAAAAAAACGTGAAAAGAAGATGTACAGAACGTGTGAGAGGGGGATGGAGAGAGAAAACGTGGAAGAATACCAAAAGAACGAAATAAAACTAAATTGGAGAAACGTGAATATGTAAGTTAGAGAATTTAGGTTAAAAGGGCAAGATAAGCATTAAAAAAATTAGGGATGTAGCTCGTATATTATATCAATCTAAGAATTTAATTAAAAAAATGAATTTCAACTTGTTATTTAGTTCACATTAGATTTCGTTTGAGGGACTCATAGCATATTACCCTTTAAATTATTTATATTTATGCAATTTCCCTTTAATCATTTTAATTACATAGATATATGTGTTCTATGCATGTGTGTGCCGTGTGTTGTGTAGGGTTGTTCATGGGTCGGGTCGGTTGAATATCGGCCGATTATCGGCCCGACCCGACTAACCGACTATTGCAAATATGCAAAACTATAACCGGCCCGACTATTGTGGGTCGGGTAACGGTTGGCAACCGACTTTGTCGGTTGCCGAAACAGTTCGGTTGCAAATTATCGGCTGATATCGGCCACATTAAAAAAAAAAATCAGATTTTCAATTTATGAGGAAAAAAAAATACTATTCTTATTAAATAATTCTCGAGAAAAACTTCATTTTTTTTTTCACTCATAAATAGTATTCTAACAAATATAAAGAATCCCACATATTTATGTTATAGATATATTCTGGCTTGTTTCTTCTCGTTTGGTTTCTTTGATCTTTGTTTAATATGAGATATAAAAAAAAAAAAAAAAAAAAACGAGAATTCTTCCTGGACAATCAATGAGATTCTAATATTTGAAAAAAAAAAAGAGGTCTGATTCACTGATTCAACTACTTCAAATACAAAAACATATTCTAAATATTAGCATCTCCCAAAAACTCAAACATTATTGCCCAAAAATTAAATGTAGAGTAAAAGGCTAGAAAAAAAATAATATAAAAATAAAAGTCGGTTGGCCGATATTATCGGCCAACCGACTTTTCAATATTTCAGAAACCATAACCGACCCGACTATGCATGGGTCGGTTGATATTATCGGCCCGACCAGAACGGGTCGGTTGATGGGTAATTATC